CTCTGATTGGTCACTAGGCAGTGCTTTCACTGAGTTGATCTCTTAGCCTGCAACCTAACCTGCTCCGGGGCAGGTTAGCCGCTCAGCATAAGTTACCATGGAGATCTAGCCTGCTAAAAAGAGAACCAGCTTCGTAAGACCAGAAAGCCGGAGTTTTCCCTGAAGTTAGCCAGCTAAGCGAAAATCCTGCTTCGTAGTATACCCCCCTGGGCTCCTATTGGTTGAGGGATTTTGACAGGATTGTTGCACAAAAGTTTTGAGCGCGCACAGAATAAATCTGAGAGCAGAAAAAATATGTAAGCAGCAATATATCTAAGTGCAAGCGTACAGTTTGAGCAGAAGCAGAGCAAATCTAAGTGCAAGCAGGCACTATTTGAGTGCGAGGACAGGGTTTGAGGGAAAGAAATCAATAAAGTATGCTCTCAAATTTAAATACCATGCTCTTGAATAAAGATAGGGAATAACCCCCATACACATCCACTCTATTTACAAAGCTCGCAGTCAGCAGATCTTGCATACAAACCAAGAGTATGGTATGTGTGACACACTTTGGGGGAAAATGTCAGGAAAGATTTTGTGACAGATGAGAGTCGAAATGACAACTTGACCACTCAGTGACCTCGCACCATGTCATTGTAGGTCAGCCATCCTCAGGCAACACAGCGGAGTGGTGCCCAGCATTAGTTCTGCAACTATCAAACATTCTCACAACTGACATTTACAGTAATTGATTGCTATTTCAGAAAATAGACCTATGGTGATGAGGATTTTATGTTTGATATCATAAAAGACTAAAGAATACTCAACTTTGATTGGCTTAAACTAGGGAATCTTCTCAATTTTATCTTAAAAAAGACTTAAAGACTAATCAATTAACAATAAAGTTGCATAAAAATTGCTTTTAACTCAGTAGAGTTCACATTTCTTTAAGAAATATTATTTATTTGTGCAAAATAAAACATATGATGTACAATATATTTTATTATTTATTGAATAATGAGAGTGTATAGTGACGTAGTTGCCATCCATTCTTACTGTTTACTGTTGCAGATATTAGCAATTATTAAGCAAATCCTCAATTGAAGATGCACTTATAAACAAATATATGTTTTGGGGTTTTATATTTCTAGGAGTGTAGATCAAAGACTAATGCCAAATTAAATATCATCATTTCACAATATGGCGCGTTAAAGCTGTATGTATGTATATATATATCCCTGAACCACTTCCTGGCTCAGTGAAGTTTCATTTTCAGCTGTGTTTTCTTTTTTTTTTACAGGTGTTGAAATAAGTTAAAGGCAAAAAAAACAATTGAAATAATACGACGATGAGTTAACTACATCTAATGGCAAACCAAAACTGTTGCACTGTAGCCTAACTACAGTTGTTGTTGTTGTTGTTGTTGTTGTTGTTGTTGTTGTTTTGTAATGTTTAAAGTCACGTATGCTCTCCTAAAATAGGTTTTGCAAAACAAGGTTAACCCATTTTCAGAAGCTAACAACAGGAACATATAACACAAATAGCAGCTGCTGGTGCCTCATCCTCCTGTTTATGGTGTGCCATGTTTCTGATGGCAAGCTGTCTGACATGACTATTATTCTTGTTCTGCCTGTTTCTCATGCATGATATTCAAATAGACCAGGACACATACAAAACAACAAACACATGTTTATGGCTTTACTTAGCATATCATTGTATCTGTTTTTGGCATACCTTTGTTAGCACGCCTTGTTACCTTGTATGCAGTATTTCAGTATCACGTTTTCCTCTCGTTCCACCTTCGAGCATCTCATTCATTTCTTTCATTTCGTCAAACTTATTGTCGAGTCAATAATATTTAGTCCGACTGTTGGTTCCCCACCTTAGTCGGAAAGGTCATGGTTGCTCTTTGTCAAATATAGGGGCCGGTTTTTTAGTGACTTCGTTATTCATTTATACGTTATTATGAATTGACTTGATTGTGTTTGACAGTCAGTGTGTGGCATTTCCTTCAGGGCAATGATTTTAACATTACTATTCAAGATTCAAAGGCTTTATTGTGTCATTTGCACACAGTGTAGTTATGGCAAATGAAAAGTCCCAGGCTCCTCCTTAAACAATGTAACATAAATGTATAGAACACATAAAACAATAACAAATAGTGCAAGAAGAACAGAACAGAATTCAGTATTACAATATTATTTTTCAAAAACAGAGCAATGATGCTTTGAAGCCAATTATATCTATACATCAATTTTCTAGAAGCGGCCCAACAGTCCTTTGTGCCCCATTCTTGGAGATCTCCAAATAATTCTAAGCTTGCTAGGAAACATAATTTACTATAGTTTTTGGAGATTAGTGGACCGTATAATTAGGGCCAAACCTCCTGACGTATACTGAGTTTTCCAAATGGCAGAAACCCTCATCAAGTCGTGCACGATGAGTCTAGCCGAAAGCTTATGACTACGTTGGGAGCTTTGGGTCACTTCCCAAAGCTCATAAGGTTAAAGAGCTTTGCTTTGTGGATCTGCTTCCCCCTTCACCACCACAGTCAATGGGTGCATTACTAAAGGGGGGAAAAGTACAAGTGTGTGCCGATGCTCGGGAAAACTCAAAAGTTACTTTGAACACTAACAGCGGTTTCATCTGCCTAGTGATTGTCACTACTAGGTAGAATGGAAAAGTTATGTTTTCTCTAAACAATTGCCAAGATTACACAATTTATCATAGCCAGAAACTGTGACATTTGAAATTATAATACACTTTTACATCTCCTAGTACACATTTTGAGTGACAAACACTAAATACAAATAACGATCTAACCTTGAAGTAGTTATACCTCAATGAAATTGCTTTATTCTGCATATCTACCAATCATTGAATCAAACTTTATTCATATAGCCCAATATCACCAAAACATGCGTCTCAGGGGGCTTTACAGCTTGCACAGCATAAAAACCCTCCTTCCTTTGATCTTGCAACGCACAAGGAAAATCTCTTTCAAATGTTTCCAGTATTTGTAATATTAATGAGGTGTAAGAAACACCCTGGACTGCTAGTACTACCTGATATCCAGCTACTGAACTGAAGACTTTGTTCTGTTCTGGAACCCTCCTACATGCTCTCCTGAAATGTTCCATTTACTGCAAATTACGCAATGTGAGCAATTCTCCTCAGTGTTGGTTAAGGAATGCTATGCCCCTTGTAGGAATGTAGAATAGGGGCTTAGAATGGCTATAAACAACAATGAACGGTTTAAGTTGCTCTGCTAAGAACCATTTACACCCAGGTTACAGTTAAACATGACTAAATAGAGTTTCATTCTAATGTGCCAAATGTAGCTTAAGGAATAGTGCAGCAATCCCTAGGTAATTACAGTCTGACTTCTACTACGCAACATTGCCCAGAGACTGCTTATGTCCCGTTTTAATACCGCTTAGCTCTTTGTATCAGATATCACAACACAAACATTAACTCACTGCCCCCGTCGCTCACTTTGTAGTTTTCCACCTCAAGGATTAAGACACACACTCGCTCACACACACTGGTGATGGAATGTGCTCCTTGGCTGTTTGTTGTGTACACACGCTCGAGCCTGGGTCATGAGATTGCTGCAGTTGCACTCCCTTCACTCCACACAGCCTTCCAGCTAAAATTGCCCACCCTGTAAACACTGTGCATTTCAATCCTTTCGCTAAAGACTGTACAGAGATGAATCTAGTATTTAAAGGCAACAGAGGGCTGACTTTCATGAAAGAAAGTATCATTTCTGTTGGGAATGTTGGTGACCCTGAACTAGACTGCTTATGAGTGGTAAGGGAGACACAGCACATTCTGTTGACTTTCTTATTTACTAAGTCTTACTCCATCACTTCTGAAACTGTAAAAAATGTCTCGACCATCCAGCAGTTTTGAATCTGTCATAGAGACTCTTAAAGGTCATCAGGTGCTTGTATTGCCTTGTGTAACCACCAGCAGTACTCTAACATGCTTCACCTAACGTTTCCTTAACTACTACATTGGACCGTTTAAAATGCCACAATAACAATAATTCACTAAAAACAGATATAAATACTGTTTCTTTATAATTGTGTACACAATTAAACATGTCACTTGGCCTAAAAAATAAAGATTCAATACATGTATTATTTCTCAATATCCCGATTAAGTGAAAAACACATGAGTTTGTTGCCCTGAGATTTTCATAAATCTTATTATTATTCATAATTTGTCATTTCTGAGTGCAACATTGAAAATTCTAGGGATCTCTGCATTAAGGCCCTTACACAGTTTTATATTTTTATTTTATATTAAAAAATTGTCATATTATAAAAACACTCCAACTCCTAAAGAATGCCATATGACCTAAAGTCAATGGTGAATTAGTGTACGTTATATATATTAACATTATTTTAAAATATTATTCACACTTTTCGGTGCAAACTAGTACACATTTCAACACAAATGGCCAACAAATCCTCATGCAGGATGTTTATTTTGACTTTTGACTGCCAACACTTGGGTTATGTTTGCTGGTTTAATGCAGATTTGCATCAGACATCCTTCATCAACCTCTTATTGTGACGGTGTCGACTAAACCCCTTGTTCTCTGAGCTGCTGGTGAATCACCGGAACCTCATTAAAGATCCTTTTTAGGTCTGAACAATCTAATTTTAGAACCACTGGATCAGATTGTAGTAAATCACAGCCCTGTGTTTTCAGCTGTGTGACGTGTTGTGTTTACCATGCTGTCACATTGATAGCATATACAGTGATCATGGCCAGGACTATAGAGGTTAGTTTTCGGACATGATCCTATCGGAGATGAGTACTCTCCTTGGACCACACAGTATTAGACCTTCAGGTTGTTCCAACAGCGTGGAGGAGGATGGACTGTGACGTAGGCAGCCCGGCTGGAGGCACCGCTGACGTTTGTTGTAGGCTGACTTTTCCGCGAGCCAAAAGGGGCGGAGCTTTATTCTTGTAAAACGGAATCGGCACACAATATGCATTATTGCTACTTATTTGCTGACACCTGCGTAGGCTAATACTGCAGTCAGTATTCGTGTGTTTTTTAGGTGTTTTCGTTCTATATAGTAGTAGTAGTATAATTTAAAGGGAAACCTACAGGTCCTCTATTCGGCGTGATTTGTGAGGTTGCTGCTGTTACATGACTGAATGAATGAATGAATGACAGAGACCAAGGGAAACGTAGTGAAACGTATTGCTATAGAAAAGGGCTGAACACAAACCGAGGAGCAGGAAACCTTCTCGTCCGCCTGCATAACTCGCACCGGGTCGTTGGCTTCGTTCCTCCGCCAGCATGCCGAGCATGCTACAGTCATACACGGTGACCGTACCTGAAGAGCCGCCGGCTGCAGCTTTCCCCTTTCTGAAGCAGGAGATGCGGAGAAAAGGCAGCATGTCCGGCTCGATGCTGGTGTCCACTTTCGTAGGGCTCCTCATTAACCAAGCCAAGGTAAGAGGTCGTGCTACGCTCCGTTATCCCGGCTCTGTCTCACCAAACCCCATTCAAAAATCAGGACATAAGGTTTATCGCATTTTGTCTTAATGGGCAGAGCTAAATGTGAATTGGCAGGAAAATAACTATGAAATGAGGCATATATGATATAAAAAGAATAGTACTTATTCAATAATAGGCTACGTATACCGGTTGTCCCATTCCAACTATCGTATGTCACTTAAATACTCGCAGTCGGTGGTAACACGTTAAACGTACTGTTAAACAATGGCTTTATACAGTTTAAAGGGAAATGCTTGGAAAGTCTGCTTGGACAAAATGTGAAAAATAATTGACTGCATATCCTGTGGAAGAGTTTAAAATGTATCGCAGGCAGAGATAATAATTCTGAATAGAACACAGGTGTTTTTTCTCTTATGATGTCACATATCTAGTGAGAGTCTCGGTTTAATGTTTGAGTGAGTCATCTGTGAGGGTAAGCCGGTCTTTTAAGCCGCTGTATTCCGCTGTACCAGGATCAGTAGGCCTGCACTGTCAGGTCAACGGTTACATAACGACCATTTAATCCCCCTCATAACCTACAGCTGCTCTTACTATACTGCTCTTATGCATTTCACTGCAACTCTTTAATGGAAATACATTAAGAAATAACCCATTTTGACGGGGCTTTCTTTAAGCACTGGAATATGTAGGGCATCTGTATGTTGCCTCTGGCGGTTGCCATATGGACACAGCCACATATATAGACAATTCTGAGTACACTAAAAAAGTATCAAAAAGCATTTCTGTGCAAGCCAGTTCAGCCTCAAGACAAAAAAGCTAGCATTGCAATACTTTTAATTATAAGTAGTTATTGAAGTTTTGCACTAAGCTTGTAGGTTTTGGAATTTCCAATCTCTAATATCTCCACGGGTCGTAGGTATAAAATGATTTCCTTGAGTTATTATTTTAAAATCAGAAAACCCTTTTTAATATAATTTTTGATTCATACAGGGCATTATATTTTCTCCAATAAACCAGGTAGACTAGTAGCCCGATAGCACAGATTTTACTGTGGAGTTTTATGCTGAATTAGATCCTGCAACACTGGAATGTTTAACGTAATGAAAAGCTATTTGCCTATACATTATTCTGGCAATAAACCGATATCCTCACCTTAAATGTGTACTAAAATGGGTCTGGTGCTTTGCATGAGACTCACTCTCCTAAATTATGTATTCTTTGCCTTACAGCTGCCGTTACTGTCCAAACCATGGGTGGATTTATCAAGGTTAAAATGAAGTGTTTGGTAAAGTTTCATTAAATAGCCTAGGCTACAAGCTGTTCTAGTATGAGTAGGAGAAGAAGAAAAGGCTTTTAGTTTCGTGAACATTAGAGCCTCGCTAGTGCAATTGTGTGTGTTTGTGTGTATGCACCTAGGTTACAGCGTGGTGTGGAGCTGCTGTGTTCCAGCTTATATTATGCAAGGAGAAATCACATTAGAATACACTTTAGTGCCGGGCTGGCAGCTTGGCACGCTTTCCGTGTTGTTGTCAGCGTCCACCTGCTCCTCGTATCCCGTCCTTCCCTTTTCTGTTGCTCATCAAACGTCCTTTACTTCTACCTCACTGCAGACCTCTGCAAGCATGGCAAGGAAATGCAATTGTTTATCAATACAAGGACAGCAAGTATAGGTATTTCGTTATAAACAAGTGATTATTGCAATTACATATTAGTTATCTCTGCTTTTTCTGGTTGGTGTTTTGGGTAAAGTCAGCTTGAGTCCAATTTCATAATTAGCTTAATAATTTCTGCCCCTATTTTCAACATTATGATGTTAAATATGTTAAATTACACTGGAAATTATACATAATGAGCAAAATAACAATAAGAAAAGAACACTCATACATAACAAACACAACAATATAATAATTAAATAATAATAATGTGTGACAAAAATCAAATTAATATGATTCCCTTCATGAATTCAAATAATCACAGTACCAATACATATAGAAACAACTATATCCATGACAGGTGAAGCAAATTCATGTGTGCAAATACTTTAAAAAGATCATAAACGTCTGACAAGTTGGTTTATAATGAGAATAATCCTGAACTTAAATGTTACAAACTCTTATTGCCTATCCTGCCAATGCCGTATAAACCAAATTAATTAATTAAAATAAGATTAAGTGTTCATATATCCCAATTTTTTTTAAACCTGTTTTTGTGTTTTTGAGGTTTAAACATTGGAATGATGTATATGATTTTGAATGCTAGCTCGTGTACAGATTTCATTCAAAATGTGCACTGTCTTCAATGGGAGTAACTTGGCAGTAGATATTTCACATGAGGATATCATGTGTGGTATTTACAGTATATACAATGTTACCTATAATGGGTTGGCTCTGTGTTACACATTTGGTTATTGTCTGTGTTCTTGTTGGGCCTATGGTGTGATATTTCAGTGCAGTGCTCTGTGAGACAAAGAGGCCCATGAAGGCTGCAGCAGAATGTAAACGCTGTCTGTTAGCTAGTAGTTCACTTTGCTACCATTGAGGGTGAATTATTTTCCTGCTGGAGAAACACTTACCATTGGAGATGTGTGAACAGGAACAGGCCGGTTATGTAAGAAGCCAATACATTATTTTTCCACATGCATCGGTGGCATGTTATCCAATCAATGTTTGACTTTAAGTTGATACCTGCTGGGTATAGACGCTGTGTGAAAAGCCTCTTCTCACTGCCACATTTCTTTTAACAAAAGCAACAACAAAAAATGCATAATACATACATAACAAACACAACAATATAATGACAGTGTAAACTCACGTAAAGAAAAATAAACATATAAATAGAATAAAATAACATATGACAAAAGGAAATGACAGGTGACAATTGAACATAGTAAGTATTTAAAAATATGAATATGAAACAGAATAATTAAATTGATTATTTGGGGAAAATGTTCATCCAAAACTGCTAATGTAATGTTTAAAAGTCATTTTAAATTAATGCGAGTAGACTTTAGCCTATTTTGGATATCTGTCCATTAATAGGATGTTTTAAGGGATTCAAATCACAGTACAGTACAGATATATTTAGAAACTAATATATACACAACTTTTGTGAATACTTACGCTTATACATTTAATTATTATTTGGGGACAATTTTCATTCAGAACACAAAAACATAATGATATTAAAAGGATCCCTTTAGGAATATTTAGGTTGACAGTACATTTAGAAACAAAAACATACATGTGATAGCGGTGAACATCTTTAGAATGTTGACGTTTCGCAAATACTTTAGAATATAAATATAAAACGGTAGAACATTTTGGATATTGGTTAACACAAGTGTGAAAAGCTTCTTCTTACTGCTATTTTTTTTTCAAACATGACTCACAAAAAACTACAAAAAATGTATAATAAATAAAATAAAATACGGTCTGACAAAAATACATTTATTAGGATCCCTTTTGGAATTCGACCGGTCGATCGCAAAGGTAGTGTGGGTAGATCGCATGGCATTGACATTTTTTTTTTTTAAGTTAGCCAATCATCCATTCTTACTATGGCATTTGCCACTTGATTGACGTACAGGTAAGCCAGTCTGAGTTGTATTATGCCATATGGGTTCATGCAGTTATGAGGGGGCACTATAATGCGCTTATGCGGCGCAATTAGTGTAAGCGTGCCACAGATTATATTATTATATTTTCTGGTTTTTGTCTAACACGCTAACACAGTTCTGTGTGCCTGTGCTGTTATGTTCAGTCATCGTTCTTATGTTGAACGCGAATACATTTACTTTGAAAGTAATTATGGGACGTATTTCTTCTTTCATAGCAATTTTCCTTCATACTTTCCAACCGTGAAATAGGTCTTAAATTCTATTCAAGTAGTCTTAAAAAGTCTTACATTTTAGTTGGCGAAACCTACAGGAACCCGGATTTAGAAACAATATACATGTGAGAGGTTTGCACTTTAAAATAGAAATATCAAACAGAATAATTGTATTCATTATTTGGGCAAAATTCTCTTCCAAAACCCCAAATATAAACTTTTTAAAGGTGTACATTTAAAATACACTTCGAGTCACCTTAGCAATTTTTGGATATTGCTCCACGAAGTTGCACTATTCAGGCTTTGAGCCAATCAAATGCAACCTAGGACCCAGTTCATAAGCTACATTTATTCGTGTTTTTCAGAAAGACCATTCCTTTTCGTAAGAAGATCTCACTGTTTACTTGTTTGTATGTGTGTATTGGCATGTTCCGGAGAGTTGAGCTGTGGTTCCACGTCACCGCACGATGTCTCAACGAGCTCAGATGACTTGACTTTTTCCCTCTGTGTGCTCTGTAGAAGGGAGAAAGAAATCTCTCTTTCCCTATCAAGTGCCAGAGTGTGTGTGCCAGCATGCTCACACAAAGTAGTGTCACTCCAGCTCACATGGGAGAAACTCGCCAGTAGCTGAGGTGAGAGCAGGGGAGAGGTTATTTATGATGGTCTGCCAAATAGAGAGACAGGTCAGAACAGGCTGTTCTGCTGTTCACTCTCTCGCGCTGGTATGGCATCAAATCAGCACTTGGCATCGTGCGCTGCCAGGTGGACCCAGGAATCCTGCTGCCGGTAGTGTTAGGTTTACTTTACAGCCCCAGTTACACACGCACAGCAGCAATAGTGGGGGGGTTATGGTTATTGCTATGGTGTAAGAGGCTTATTATTGCAGTATTGCTAATACTGTGATGAGATATTAGCATTGTTTTCCATTGAGCTCTTTCAGCTGTCGTTGATATGCATGCATATTATGTTTTCTTATCAATATTTTTGACAATTCTTTTTTATAACTGTTTCTAAATAGTTTTCCTTTAATTGCACTATTTCACACTATACATGCATAGATATAATGGCATATATACATCATAATGGATGATTTTATCTATATTCTAATGTCACTTAAAAAATGAAAGTGAAAACAAATGAATATTTCTTATAATTTTTTTTCATTC